GAGTCTCAGGGAACTAGGGCACATCTGCTCCAATGTCTTCTGCTGACAGAGGCAGGAACTGGAGCCCCAAGGGGAGGGTTGAGTTCAAGGTCACTTCAAGGGCAATGAGAGTGAGTGCAGGGCCCAGTGTGGAGCTAGACCAGGCAAGACTGTGCCCTGTGGCCATGGGCTACTGAAGGAGGCAGAAGATATGAGGGGCTCAGAATGAGGCAGGCTTGGAGCAGGGAAATTTCCATAGCATGGGGATGGTCAGGCTCGATTTACCCAGAGTAAATAGGTAGATTGGTTGCCCTTTGGCCATGAAAAGAAGGAACAAAGGCTTCAGTTCACAGGGATTCTGGTCACATGACCAGCCTCCCTTCTCAAGGCCTTACTGGTCTGCTTTGCCCAAGAGAGCAGCTCTCCCATGTTACAGACAGACAATCAGGGCACAAGGACATGAAGTGACAGAACTGGGCAGGGGCAGCAGAAACTTCTCTGTGCTAGCCTGGGAGCATGCTCTTGGCCTGGGGTGTCTGACCTCCTAGGCTGAGCTGCACTCCTTCAGGTGTGTGTCTCAGGTGAAGCCCCCATGGCCTTTCTTTCCATGTGCAAATGGAGCCCTCTCAGGGGGAGTCACCCTGCAACCCCTAAGAGCAACTTAAACAAGACAAGGACAGCTAGTGACTTAAAGAGACCTTGGAGTCAAGGACAGAGCTTGTAGGACTCACAGACTGGGGCAGGGGGTGGGGAAGGCAAAGAAAAGCTTGGGCTTGGGGGTGGGGCAGGGATGAGGAGATGGGAGGAGGGAAGGGAAGGCTTTCAAAGAGAGAATGAAAGAAATGAGTTATTCCAGCATGGGGAGCTTAGAAAAGTCCACTGAATCTTTTAACAATCCTGTCAATTATTCATTTTCTACTATGCGGGGCCCTCTGGTAGGCCTCAGAGCTGCTGTGAGCAGGGCAGAGGGAGGGAGGGAAGTGAAAACAGAGAGGGAGGGAGGGAGAGAGTAGAAGTAATATCAGAAAAAATGGGAATATAACAAAGACAATGGCATGTGTGCTTGTGTGTGCGTGTGTGTGCGTGTGTGCATGTGTGCATGTGTGTGTGTGTGTGTGTGTGTATGTGTGTGTGTGTGTGTGTATGTGTGTGTGTGTGTGTGTATGTGTGTGTGTGTGTGTGTATGTGTGTGTGTGTGTGTGTATGTGTGTGTGTGTGTGTGTATGTGTGTGTGTGTGTGTGTATGTGTGTGTGTGTGTGTGTATGTGTGTGTGTGTGTGTGTATGTGTGTGTGTGTGTGTGTATGTGTGTGTGTGTGTGTGTGTGTGTGTGTGTGTGTAGGGGGGAGGAAGAGAGCAAGTGATCAATGGTGGGGTGGAGGGAATGGAGGGGAGCAACACTTGCTTGAACCTCTGTGTGGAAAAGACACTGAATACCTTCTCTAAAGCCTGGTCCTCCTCCTTCAGGAAGCCTTCCCATGTCCTCTCTTCTCTTTCTTCACCTCCTTTAGGAAGGTACTTTGTCTGGGCCAGTTCCCCTGCTTGTCCATCCTTACATGGTCAGTCCTGTCTGCTCTGTGTCTCTGATAGTCTGAGGCTGTTCCTATATGAAGGGGATCTCCAGTTCTCAGGCCCCAGTCTCCTCTTTTGGCCCCTATGGCCTCACTGGGTGTAGAACTGGGCACTTATTAGGCTGGGTCATCCTAGGCTTCTACCTAGTTGGAGATGTCTCATGGGTCTTTGTGAGTGGAACTTGGCCCCTCTGAAGACTAAACAGAACCTTTCAGTTTACCTGTTGTGGCTGTGGCATCAGAAGACACTAGCTAGCTAGAGTGAGGTGGCTTGTCCATGGGATAAGGACAAGATGTTGGCAGAGTGGATCTTGGGAGAACTGTCTCTTTGAGAATGACTCAGGAGCTCAACACTTGCAAAGCAATGTGTGTTCTGGGCTACTCATAAGGGACACATTGCTTCCCTTAGTTCTGCCATGGGTCCTACCCTGGATCTCAGCAGTCCCACCCAGCACTGCGCTTTTTACTGCCCTGAAAAAATTGTCCCTGGAATGACTGCATTAGAGCCAGGTGTCTGGGGATGGAAGGAAATGTCTGGGCTTGGAAGGAGTCCCAGCTGGGGTCTGTGTGCTGTGAGGGGCAGGGAGTATTGCACAGAAGACCTCAGACTACATCCCCTTTACCTGCGCCTCTGTCCCCAAGAAGCATCTTTCCAGAGAATGTTCAATTTTCAGTACTCCCAAGTAGACTCAGGAGGGAGCCAGAGATAAAATGGATTTGAGGCTCTGGGGACCACACGGCGACACTAGACAGAGACTGAGGCGCCACAGAAGTCAGGTGATACAGAAAGGTTCAGCCAAGGCCACGGAAGAGAGCAGAGGGGGCCACTCACTCATCCTGGGGTCACTGCACAACTGTTGTGCCACAAGGCACCCTGCCTCAGCCACAGGCTCTGCTGATGACACTCTCCAATACAAGCCCCAAGTCACATACCTCAGGATTGTGTCACTCCTGCTCAGGTGCCCTCAGGGCCCCTCAGGTATCTGCTGCTCTAAGTCTGTGCCTTGAACCTCAGGGGCTGTGCCTTTGCTCTGTCCCACAGTCATGCCTCCCTGCCCTACAGTGCTGGGTGACATCATCTTACACCAGGGTCTATTACTATGCAGCCACACTCCTGGGCTCCATGGCTGTATTCTGCTGCTTGTCACTGTGTCTGTTGGTTGCATGAGTTCATCCATTGCTATGTAATTTTCTTTGGTTGCCATGGAACAGTGACCCGTGGCTGCACAGCTGCTTGTGATTGGCGTGGAACTGTAGACTGTTGCTACCCAACCACATTCTGTTACTTGTAACTGGGTTCTCTTAGCCGTGGGAAGATATATGGCTGGCCCTGCCCGAATTTTTCTGAGTTCTGGCCTCTCTGGCCTATAGGTTTATAAGATAGCAGCTAGGATAAAGTGATGGCAAGGGGGTGGGGAGAGAGCAGGGGCAGGGAGAGTGTCCTTGTGCTGTGTTGGAGACTGAATCAGGCATGGGAAGATAAAGGCTGAAGCCAAGAGTCAGGAAGGAGGGTTCAAGGTTAGCATGGGTCTGGAATAGACTAGAATGGGCAGGAAAGAGGGCCAGGGCCACTGCCTTTTACAGGGCACAAAATGTGGATTAGCTAACCACAGTCCTCTGCAGCTACCCAGAATTCACTGGATGCTCCATAGCATGGATTGATAAGGTCAGGGAGCCTTGGGCAGGTATCATATTACTTCTGGACGACCAGGTCATAGCCACCATTGTTAAATGAAAACAGGTCACAAATGGTGGTTATTCTTGGTCAGAAAGAATTTTTCCTAGTGGCCACAGTCTAATTCCTCTCCTTAAGAAAAAAAAAAGAAGAAGAAAGAAAGAAAGAAAAGAAGAAAGAAAGAAAGAGAAAGTCAACACTAACTGTTTGTCTATCCATGTTATACCATCCTTCCTGACATTTAAAGTTGGGTCCTCAAATGTCCACCCATCAGATCCAGCCTACCCTGCAAGGCTCTTTTCCTCCCAAGCCGTTTTTTCCTCCTCCTCTCCCATTCATTATCATCCTCAATCAATTTCATAGGTTCAATAGGCCTCCAGCCCAGGCATTCCATTCCTTTTTATGTCTCCCACCACAGACAAATGTACAGCATTAAGTTATGTGTGTTTACCACTGCATATGACCTAGGCTCTCAGACTTGCTGCCCTTAGCTCAGACCTTACCAGAGAGCCCCTGCCATTCCCAGCTGCGGGGTGGGGCTTGGCACTGCTCACTCCTTGCTCATATTATGTCCAAGATGTTCAAGTAGGGTCTGCATCTCTGCTCTCAGAGGTAGTGTGACTCAGGGTGAACTCTGCCCTCTAGGGTTGGGTAGGCTCACTCCAAGGCAGTGAGGTGAGGACAGGTCCTCCGGTGATAACCAGGGAGGACCGACCCCCTTCACCTTCTCCTTCCTTCCCATCTGCCTTTTCTTGTAATGGCCACTTTACTTTTTCTCACTACCCTGGCCTTTTCAAATCCACCTTCTTTCTCTCCTGTACTGATTTCGGTCAGGTTGTGCAGGTTGACAAGACTGGTTTACCATGGTTTCCCGAATCTCCTTGGCTGAGATCTGTACATTTATTTTCAATGCAATTGATGGCTGGGCCGGAGGTGGCTCCTGAGTCCTGATTCTCCACAGGGCAAAGGTAGAGTGTGTGTGCTAGAAATGTTTCTAAGAGCTGTCGCTTGGACAGGAAAGCTCTGCTCTTGGGGAGGTGCTCCATATGGGGACTTCTTGGGTACACTCAGCAAGCAGCCTTTCCTATTGTCTTATGGTACATGTTTCAGACAGTTGCCAAGTGCCAAGGGTTAATGAGGAGACTGCCACTAGAGAAGAGCAAGTCCTCACAGGAGACCTGAGGACTAGATTGGTGGCTTTGCCTGGGGCTTTTCCTTAGGATCTTCGGAGCACCATTTGCTCATGGGATCCACTGTGGATGGCCGTCGGAAAGCCACATATGGGATCTCTCATGGTTATTGACTGGGGTGGTGATGTCTCCACTGGGGACTTCAGAGAGATTGTCTTTTGAGTGTATGCTCTTTTGCTATCTGTACCAATATGCTGAGACTCAGAAGTAGCCCTCCTGAGGCCAGGTCCCAAGATCAAAGACAGACTGTGCCTGGAAATAGTTTAGTGTCCCTTTAATAAGTTACATCTAGTCTCTTGGGGGCTTCCCATGGCCTGAGGGGCATAATCTGGGCTGGTTACGAAGCAGGCATTATAGGAATTTCTAATACATCCTGGGGGAGCCCGCCTAAAAGGTAAAGAAACTGTGAAAGGGAGTCACACCTTCCTCCCACTAGCCTGTCTTTGTGGGTAACTCACATGCAGACTGTGCCAAAGGGGTGGTCCACTCGCCACCTGGGGAGTGATCTCAGGGATGGCTTTTGAGCCTCCTTCCCCATTGCCCCATCACAACTCAAGTCCTCCATGTCCTAGGGAGAGGCACTTACCGTGTCATTCAGTGTCTGAGGTTCCTCTGCTTCCAGAGAGGAGCCTGAGGAGCTCATGGACCAGGACTCACGAATGGCACCCAGATTCTCATCTAGGATCTTGGGGTTCAGGATGGGCAGAGCCTTGGTGTTGTTTGGTGTCAAGAAGTTTTCTGGCCTCTAAAAAGATGGAGAGAGACTTTGAACCCACCCTTCCATTGTGCCTGCTGTACTCCAAGCTTCCTGGCATGGCTCACCTGTCCTCTGTTCACTCCTTGCCCCTTGCTCATGGGTCCCAGCCGCAGTGTCCTGCAGTTCCTCCAACAAGCTAAGCGATTTACTGCCTCAGGACCTTTGCTTCTGCTTCTTTCTCTGCCCAAGGATCTTTATACAACTGTCCCCTAACCGTCATTTGGGCCTCACCTATGTATAATCTTTTTGGAGAGCCCTGCCCTTTGACACAGAGACCACACCCCCACTCCAAAATAACCCCATCATTCACAGCATACTGTTTTACAGTGTTCACAGTAATTACTCTATGAAAATACCTTTCAAACAGTGGGTTTGTTTATTGACTCTCTCTGCCTTCTCCCAGTATTCACACCAAGACTGAAGTTTCGTATAAGCAAGGGCTTATACTATTATCTCCAGTGTCTTGCTCACTGTAGGTACTTAATAGGTGCTCAGTGAGTATGCAACCAATGGCCTCCATACACCATATAGTGACAACTTCTAAAATGCCCTACTCTTTCACCCCCTTTTCCATTTCATCTCTATCATTCAGTTTGATCACCTCTTACAATGCCTCTCTGTGCACTTTGGTGGACCCATCTACGTCATCTTCACTTGTTCCCTCCTCCTCCCTTGGGAAGCCCAGTGCCTCTGTCCTCTCTTGATCAAGGGTTTTCTGGATTCTTCCAGTATTGGTTACCTGTACTTTCATTTTTTGGGGGGGGGGTAGTACAAATGGTTTTATTTGCATTCTGACCCAGCACAGAGCCCACATACAGATTTCTCATTTACAAGTGCAAAATATGCTTCATTTCAGGTACAAAAACAACATGGCATAAATGACAACTTGGGTTTCCATGGCCACCTCTCCATGACCTGGCACACACAATTGATCGATCTGTCACCCCCCCCAAAGTCCCCCACCACCTTTAGGAAATAACTGCCTGATCTAGAGGAAGAGGGTATACTTCAGGAAAGAATCACTTTAAAGCATGGACATAGAAGAAGACAATGACTAACCAAGACTTTTACCCAGCAGGAGAAGATGGGTCAGTGCATAAAACAATCCCCCTTTGCTCATTTTAATGCTCTAGCCCCACAAAGGTCTCTCGTAGCACTGCCAGCCCAGGGACAAAGCCTCAGGATGGCTACATGGGAATGAGCTTGTTCACATACCTAACAGATGTGGCCTGGATGGAACCTGGACTGGATGCCAGACACTCATCTTGGCTCAGCCAATTGCAGGTTTCCTGTACTTTCACATTGCTCTGTGGTTCAAGGCTAGTTTGCCATTTTTGTTTTTTCTAACCAAACTGTATGTTCCTTAGACTGAGGGACATGTGTCAGCGGCATTTTTGTGGAGGTGGTCACTTTAAAACTTGGGGGCTGGTGAAATGGATCCACAGGTAAACATGCTTGCTGCTAAGCCTGAGTTTGATCCCTGAGACTCAGGCAGCAGCAGGAGAGTCAACTCCTGCATGTTGTCCCTTGATCTCCACATATACACCATGACACATGTTGACACGTACACACACGTACACACAGTAAATACATTGGTAATATATTTTTACTTAAGGTAAACATATTTGAAACCCATTGTTAGTTCTACCATCAGCCTTTTGTTTGAAGCATCACACAGTCTCCCAGTTTGCAGAGGCCTCAAATGTGATACAATCTCACCCTGCATTAGTTGTTAGAATCCTCACTCAGCTTCAATGCAGACATATTTATTCAGTGGGTGGTGTTTTGCTAGAAGCAAGCAGAGCCATGGGCACAATGCCAAACAGAAGGGACATGCTCAGGGCTCCAGGTGCCCCAGTGTCTGCCTCTAAACAACTGGAATGAGGAGGGTGTGGGTTACCTCACTAAGTGGACACTACATGAAAACAATACACCTGGACTACATAAATTGAGATGAAGATGCTGTCCTCAAACACTGAGGCGTTTGCAATGATTTCTTTATGTGCCATACACTTTGGGATTCAGAAATGAATTATAACACAGGGATTTTACATGCTTATGTCAGCAGGATAAGGGATCTCTCTCTCTCTCTCTCTCTCACACACACACACACACACACACACACACACACACACACACACACACACACGGCATCAATTGGGGACATTCTAGGCCCCAATTCCCTCTCCTTTGAGTTGGTATAAAATAGATAATTCCTAAGAGAAATATCTATAAATGCTCTTGGCATGGAAGAGGGATGCATTTGGTGACCTGAGGCTGACTTTAGCAGGTCATTTAAATCTGTGAACACCAGCCTAGCTTCCTACACCATTCCTACAGAATTCACTTAGATGTTTCCCAAATGACACCGAGTCTTCTATGCCCTGGAAGTGCCCAGTGCAGCATCTGACTCACACAGCTTGGGGGTTTTCTTTCTTTCTTTTTCTTTTCTTTCTTTCTTTTTTCTTTTCTTTTTTTTTCGAGACAGGGTTTCTCTGTGTAGCTTTGGAGCCTATCCTGGCACTTGCTCTGGAGACCATACTGGTCTTGAACTCACAGAGTTTGGGGTTTTCTAAGTGAGTGTTTGGATAAGGGAAAGCACCACATCTGTCTTCTACCTAGAAATTTTGAACATTTGGGGATGGGAAGTTGGTTCAGAGGTTAAGAGCACTGGCTGCTCTTCCAGAGGATCTGGGTTCTATTCCCAATTCCCAGCACCCATGATCTGGTCCCCTCTTCAAGCTTCAATGGACACTAGGCATGCATGTGGTACACAGGAATGTATGCAGGCAAAATACTCATACACATAAAATAAATCTTTTTAAAAATGCTGAACATCAGACTGACTGCAGAGAGATAGCCATGAAATGCTTACTGTGCGAAATGATGGGTGGGTGTTAGAAAAATAAGGAATAACTAGCCAGGACAAAACCCACCTCCCTAGTGACCAGGTGGGTCCAAGCTCGGGTGAGATGCTGATTCAGGACCTGTAATGACATTTCTCCTCATTTCCAGGCAGAAAGCCAATCTCAATGCCCTGGATTTCATAGACTGCCATCTAATCCAGTTAGAGGAGGAAGTAGGAGTAATGAAATCAAAAGAGGTCTCCAGAGGTGGCCCAGTCATTACAGAAAGCAGGGACAATTGCCGAGGGAGTCACCTCCCCCACTGCCTGTCTCGGTGCTGTCCATCCTGGAAGGTTCCAGGACCAGACAGGCTAACTCAGTGATGCGGACCTGATGTTTTGGGGTCTGAGTTATACACTCGCCAGATATTTTCAGGCAGATTCTGATACTTTGTATGAAGTCCTTTAATTTCATGACAGATAAATTAAAAAATGAGACTCTCAGTCTAGAACTGTGAATTCATTCTGCCAGTCTCTGCTAGGCAGGGGAGTATCCTGAGGAGGAGGGAAGGCAGGTTAAGTAGGAGGAGTCAGGCTGCTGGAGAGAGCAAAGCCTTGTGGACGAACTGTCAATTCAGGCCTTGCCAGCTCTGCTAACCCCATTCTTTTCTGCCTGCTCACCCCACAAGCTTGTTTATTTGCTTTTCTATTTGGCAGGCCTGCTGGGGCAGCATGGGGCTGACAAGTGGCCCCTCAGTCTGTAGCTCCGTGGTTGTAGCAGATCCTGCTTCATTAGAACTGTAATTGGGGACTGACTTTGAAAGCTCAAAGAGATGCATAGCCATGCACCAGCTCAGACTCAGCACCCAACCCAGGCCCTGTGCTGTGCCAGCTGCTGAACACCACATGAGAAACATGGAGGGAGAATATGTCCAGCAGGCACTCTTACAAGCAGAGGGGGTTCTTTTGAGACAGGCTGGGCCAATGACATTCCAAGCTGGCAGCATTTTAGGTCACCTGTCTTCTCTCCCTACCCTCAACACCTCTGTTGCCCTCCTCTCTACTCCACCCCTAGATCCCTGGTCATGCAAAATGCAACAGCTCCTGCTTGCCCTGGCAATTACAAAGCAACCCTGCTGCAGCTGCTGTCCACGGTGCTGAAAGTGCCCGCCTTCCGGCCAGCCCGCCTCTCGCCCCGCCTTGAGCTTTCTTGGTGGGGAACACAGGCTCTTAATTCAATTAGCTGGCCCTGAACCCTCCCCAGGGAGCCTGGAGCGGAAACTGACAAATTCTGTTTAACAAAGACATTTGTCCCCCGCCCCGCCAGGCTTAGGGCTCTGCTCTCCTGTATCCCGCTCATTAGGTATCTAACAAAGTGCGTCCCAAGAAATCTGCTTCCAATCGCTAGTAATTCAGGAGGTCTGATACAATTTTCTCCCTGATAAGGGTGGCTCGCCCGCTGGCAGGCCCATAATGAGCCCTGTGCAGTTGCTCCCTGATCAGTCACTGCTTTGTCATTTCCTGTGGGCTGCAGTTGTAGGTTCTTATCTCTTCAGCTGTAGGCAAGGCCCAGACAGCAAGCCCTTCAAGAGGGCTTGCCTCCCATGCATATGGCCAGCCTCATTTATGGCATCCTGAGGGTTGTTGCAGTTGTGGCAGATTTGAGCATCTCCCAGTCAAACGGGCCCACGTGTTAGCACTCAATGGAACCATGACATATCCTTCAGAAAAATGGTGTCAAACCGCTTCCCCCCCCCATCACCAAGCAGGGGCTTAGGATGGGGGCCGTAAAGGTTTTGTTTTATTTTATTTTTTTAAATTCTGTTGGGGTGTTAGGATTAAATAGAGCCCCGCCTGTGGCTTAGTGGATGGGCTGTGGGCTTATTCACTCTTATGGGCCAGAAATCATTTTACCTACATTTCATTAGTCTCTGTTCACATCTGGACAGAACCACACCCAATTGCTGCTCAAGGATTTTCTATAGTTGCCCATCACTTTTGGCAAAGTCCAAACCTTGTGTCTTGTCACCCACCCAATCCTTCTGCAATCTGGACCCCACTTACAAAGTCAGGGTCACTGCTTGCTACAGCATCCATATGACCCACAAGCCTCCATGCTGGTCTCTGATAAACCTCTGCTTTC